TTTGTATGCTGATGGCTCAGGTGGAGGATCAGCTACTGGAGAAACACTTCTTTAGGGCAGTGGAGCTATGAATTAGAATCTGGGCATTAGAATCATCTAGAGCGCTTACAAAAAAAATACCAATGCCTGGGGACTATTCCCAGATGGATTAAGCTAGAATCTCTGGAGGAGGGACTCTGTCAGAGCTCCACAGGTGTCCTCATGCATAGAAAGGCTGAGAGCTGCAGCCTTGGTGAGATCAACACCTGTTTGTTGGGTAGCATAGTGTGCTCTTGGAATGTAGAGAGGATGAGTTTCCAGGTGGACTGTCTGTCGTGTAAGACTGGAGGCCCTCAAATCAGCTCAGTGTGTCTTTTCATCTGATTAGTGTCCCATTCTTCTCTTCTTTTTTAAAGAGATAATTTCACTTGAAATACAGATTTTTATATATATAATATATATATATCAAGAGAGAGAAAGAGAGAGAGAGAGAGAGAGAGATCTTAGAGATCTTCCATCTGCTGTTTCACTACCCAAATGATTGCAATGGCTTTTGCAGGGACTAGTAGAAGCCAGGAGCCTGGAACTCCATCTAGGTCTCCCCTGTTGGTGATTAATGCCCATTATTTATCTGTGCATAGATTTTCTCTTGTATTGATGATTTTTGATATTTTCACAATAGCCCCATGAGGCCAATGATTATTAACTCCATTTCTAATCAGCTTTTTATTCTGCTGTTTACAAGGGGAGTTAACGCCAAGTGGGTTAGAAGACCATATTATTTCTCCACCTCTGAAAATGACACTTTCCTCATTTTGGAATTCATGGGGAAAAATACATTTTTTATTTGGGTGTTAACAAGATTAACACCCAGTTAGATCTGTGGTCAGTAGTTGTGCAGGCTGTGCACTACCCAGCCCTGAGAAATGTTGCTGAAAAGTAAATGGAACGTATGTCATTGCAAAAACTGAAAGATAAATAAGAAAGGAAGGAAAATGGAGGGTGGGGTTAAGGAGGGTAGGGTAGGAACTATTATCATGTTCTTAAAACTGTATATACGAAATACATGAAATCTGTTCCCTTTATATAAATAAATAAATAAATAAATGCCATTGCATTACAGTTTATGTGAATTGTACCTCAAGCACTTGTGCAATGTTCTGGCTGAGTGGCTGTGGGTGGTGACTCTACACGTACTTAAAGCAGATTCTATCTCAGGTTGTTATCGCTCTAGTAAGATCTAAGGGATGCTGGAACATTCCTGGGATATTGCCCTGTTGGAATAGGTCAAATGCTGAAATAACATATAATTAGCATGTGATCGATTTCTTTAACATTATCTCCTCTAGGCTTTCTCATTTAAAATGCATGTCCCCTTAGGACCAGGAAACTATTCCAGGCTCTTAAACTGATTTTCTCTTAGGTATCTGTGATTGATAGTTCATACAGAATAGGGGTTTACGCTATTCAAACAGCTTTCACATTGTCTCCGATGACACAGGTCTTATCATTATTCTCAGTTTACAGATGAGCAAACTAAGGCTTAGAAAAAGTCATTTCTTGACTGAGATTGCCCAGCAAGTAAGAGGTTGAATTCATTTTCTTTTTGTTTCCAGATTTAAAAATTTCCCTGCTAACCCCTACTGCTGGGAATAAGGTTTTATTTTAATTTTCTTTGATTGTATGCTTTTTAGAAATGTGTGCATCAAAACAAACATTTGTTAGGGAAGGTCCTGATGCTGTAGCCTATCAGCATTCAGAGGCCCCTTTGGGGTAATGTTTCCAGTTTAGATGCACCTTCATTTGAATCATTTGTGCTATGTTTTACAAATAAAGAAATCTGCATGATGAACAAGCTTGTTTTAATTACTATGAGGTAATTATATATATTAAAATAAGGTAATTTTCATCAAAAAACTCACATCTTCAAACATGGCTAGGCTGTTTGTGTAATTGACTCCTGTTTAAAAAATGTAGAACGTATGTGGTAGAGTAGTGACAATGATGTATTGATTTTAGAGTCAGACAGGCCTGGGTTAGAATATAGACTTCTGGGGCTGGCGCTGTGGTGTAGCAGGTAAAGTTGACATCTGCAGTTCCGGCATCCCATTTGGGCACCGGTTAAAGTCTCGGCTGCTCCACTTCCCACCCAGCTCTCTGCTGTGGCCTGGGAAAGCAGTAGAAGATGGCCCAAGTCCTTGGACCCCTGCACCCACATGGGAGACCCAGAAGAAGCTCCTGGCTCCTGGCTTCCAATCGGTACAGTTCTGGCCATTGCAACCATTTGATGAGTGAACCAGTGGATGGAAGCCCTCTCTATCTCTCTGCCTCTGCCTCTCTGTAACTCTGCCTTTCAAATAAATAAATAATACATAAATAATTTTTTTAAAGAATACAGACTTCTGGGATGGGTGTTTGGCATAAGGGTTAAGACGCTTCCTGAGTTGTCCATATCTCATATTAGATTGCCTAGGTTCAAGTCCTGGCTCCACTCCTGATTCCAGCTTTCTATGAATGTGCACCCTGGAAGGCAGCAGGCACTGGCTCAAATAGTTGGGACCACCCATGTGGGAGACCCAGGTGGCACTCCCTGCTCCTGGCTTCAGTCTGGCCTAGCCTCAGCTGTTACATGTATTTGCAGAATACACTAGCAGGCAGGAGCTCTCTCTGTTTCTGTCTGTCTCTGTGCCTCTCAAATCAATAAAGCATGTAGAAAATTTAGACTTCCTACTTGTGTCTCTGTGATTAGAAGTTAACTGCTGGGCATCACTTAGGCTCAGCTTCCTCACCTGTAAAATGAAGTAATGAGACTTAACTTTGCAAAGGAATAAATCTGAAGTGTGAGTAGTAGGAATTCCTTATAATACTAATTTATTTGCATCCATCTTGCAAAACCCAAGAGTAAAAATCATTGTCTTAAGGTTGTTGAATAATCTTCTTTTATTCCATGTCTTGCATTCTGGAGATACTGGTGGTTTGTGCAGCTAAAGCATTTGTTAGCCCTGTCCTTATGGCTTTGCTGGACTCTGTCCAGGATTTTCCTGACTTTGGCTGGAGTCTCTTTCCTGCAGTTCTCCATGACTGCCTTTGCATGCTAGTAGTTCTATAGTTCTATGGTCTTGGGAGTGGCCCCACTACCATATCTGTACTAGGCATTTCCCCAGTGGATACTGCCTATAGTAGTTCCTTCTCTGACTTCACATTGCCCTCCCAGGACCTCTCTGTGGTGGCTCCCTCACTGTGACAAGCCTTTATATGGGCTTCCAGGTAGTCAGCAATATTCTTTTGAAATCTTGGAAGGAAGCAATGCTCCTACAGTATTAATACCATGCAGCCTCTGCCAAGGTTTACAGGGTGTACCTCTCAGAATGGCAGGATGAGACACATCTGAATCCACTTGAGTCGTGGCTGTGGTGGCCGAGGGGCACTTTGCCAAAATTTGGGGAGCAGACACTTTAGGTGGCTTTGGGCAGTGAGTCCTTTCTGCTCTCAGGCCCTGACATCTGAGCCTTTGCTTGGAGTGGAAGCCTTGAAGATCATGGAGATACATTCATGTCCTTTCTCCCACTGTCTCAAATAGGACCTTCTTTCCTTCTATCTACATGAATCTTTTCAACAAACAGTTGCTCACCCTTAATATTTTCTCCTAAATATGGTTTTCCAGTTTTTATATGTGTAGGCTATCATTTTCCCAAATCATTCCATGTTGATTCTCTATTAATTACAAATTTCACCTTCTAGTATTTCCCCTTTTCATATTTCAGTGTGTGTGTGGCTAAAAGCAGTCATGCAGTAGCTTGAATGCTTTGCTGTTGAGCTATTTCTTCCGCCAGATTTCCTCACCATTGTTCATCAAGTTCTGCATTCCTTAAGGTCCTAGGACATGGGTGCAGTTCTGCCATGGTCTTTGTAACTGCATAATAGGATAGCTTTTACCCCAGTTTTAATATTGTATTCCTTACCTACACCTGAGATCTTATCAGAATGGCCTTTACTTCTACCAACATTCCGGTCACAACCACCAAGCAATGACTAAGAAGTTTCAGATGTTCCTTCTGGCTCTCTTCTGGGCTCTCACTATAGCAGCCCGTACTGCTCTGACCATGCAATGCAGGCTTTTTCTAGTCTGCTCCACCAGGTTCTTCCAACATCTACCCATGAAGCAGTTCCAAAGTGGCTTTTGTATTTTTGGTTAAGTGTTACAGCAACAGCAGCACTTCCCAGGACCAATGTCCTCAGTCCATTTTCCACTCCTATCACAGAATGCCACAAATCAGGCAAATCACACACAATAGAAACTTATTTGGCTCAGTGCTGGAGGCTGGGAAATTTTAGGTGGAGAGTCCACATTTGATGATGGTCTTGGGCTTCATCATAACATGGTGAGAGGCATTACATGTTAAAGCAGCGGGCATGGATGAAAGATGGGGCCAGAGGGGGTTGAACCTACCATGAAACCATCCCTGTGCCACCTCTCCCACTCTTGAGATGACTGACATACAGAGATTAATTCACCCATCAGTACAAAGCCCCTGTGATCTAATCACCTCTTGATGTCCCCTTCCCCTCTCCTTTAATACTGTCACAGGAATGATTACATTTCACCATGTTTTGGAGGGGCTATGTGAACCATAGAATAAGGGTTCTGGGAGTTTAGGGAGGGAAAAATTCCCAGTTCCAGCATATCCCAGCTCTGTTATCTTGAGAACTTATTCAATACCAGAAGCCTCTGCCTTCTTATCATGAAATGACTAAGCAATGATATTTACTTGATAGAGCTGTTAGTACTATAGTTTGGATAATAGTTTGGATGTTCCCCGAAGCCCCATGTGTTAAAGTTTCCAACTTCAGAGTTTTATATTAATGGATTAAGGGAGGAACTTCATTCACTTATGGTGTCAGAAGGTGGGCCGCGGGAGTGATTGGATTGGATTAGGATGTTAGGGTGGAGCCCCCATGAAGGAATCTTGGGGTTTTATAGGAGAAGCCACAGGGATGCGGAATAGCAGGCTCCCTGTCTTTCTGCTTCCTGTCTTGCCATGCCATCCGCCCACAGCACATATTCCACTCTCTACAGCCCTCATCAGATGCCAGACCAAAGAGGTCACTTTGTCTTGGATTGTGGACCTGGAAAAAGTGAGTGAAAATAAACCTTTTCCTTTATAAGTTAGCTCCTCTCAGATGTTTTAGTTGCAATAACAAAAAACTGACTGATACAGGCAGATGTAGTGTAAATCTTAAAGGTCTATAAAGCACTCAGAACCATGTCTGGCATGGAGAAAGTATTAAAAAATTGTTTGTTGGTAGAGTTGTTATTCTCTTTATTAAAAAATGATAATAACAATAAAATGAATTTTTATTTTTTACTGTTACTACAACAAAGGCATTTTATAATACATTAGCCTCATTTGAACTATGCAATGATCCTATGTTATTTTTATTCTTCATATTTTTTAAATTAGAATGTAGAGATTATAAGAAGTGAATTGCTCTGAACAGGGTCACAAGCTTGGTCGTCATCGTATCTTCAGGCTGGATGCTGTTTCCATTCTACCCTTGCTTCCTCCTAGATCCAGTCTCCCTCAACGGTCTGGCAGAATCCCTGACATTTCCATCTCTCTTGTAAAGGTTTTTTTTTTTTCCCGTAAAGATTCCTGCTGAAATGTCCACCAACGAGGAATCAATGACCAGGCATTATCACCTCTTAACACAATCCAGTGATATTGTCAGATGAATCCAGTTGGGTTATCAGATTAGCTAGCCTGTGCCTTCATACAGAACCAGATAGCTAAGCAGTTCCAGTTGCAGCTAACAACAACAACAACAACAATGACAACAACAACAACAATTCAGGAAATCTGGGTTCCCACCCAATAAGGGCAGGTGTGAGAACGACCTGCAGTAGATAGGGAGGAGGGGGACTTCCCAGTCTCACTGTAAATGAGGACAACAATGGCTACATTACAAGGCTATTGTGAGGAGCAAATGGTGTACAACAGTACTTCATATTTATTAAGAAAACAGCATCTACATGTATTACCTTAATACTAACAATAGCATGAGGTAGGTACTAGTGCTACTCCCATTTCACACAGGAGGAAATGCAGGAACAGAGAGCTTATTTGTCCATCAGCCAGTGAGTGGCAGAGTCAGAGTTTTAGTCCAGCCCTTGTGCTCTGAAAGGAAGGTACGTGGGGAACTTTCCCTTTCAAGGCATCAAACCTAGTTTGTATTCTTAATTTTATAGCCTTTTTCTAAAAGACAATCTCTGCAGTGGTATAGACTTGGGGTGCTCAACAAAAGTGAGCCGCCTTCTTTTCTGGACTGAGGGGATTCCCGGATGGAAGGAGGAGTGACACAAGACTGCAGGCAGAGTGAGACACCAGACACCTGCCATGGGACGTGGGAGGAGGCGGAGGAGGGCTGCCGTATCTCCATTCCTGGCTGACCGACCTCCTGTTAGCACAAGCTGTGACTCACTTCAAGGGGCTCTGTCAAAGCGTGGACTGAAGCTGCTTTCTCAAGCAGTGCCTTGTGACTGCCTGAGAGCTTTGCCGAGCTTTGCTGACTCCTTGGAGCTTAATTTACAGCCAGCCAGTGAGTGGAGCTAAAGCTTCGTGAGACAGCGGCTTGTCCAGCAGAACTGCTCGGGAAGTCCTGCCTGTACGTCCCCCCTCGGCGTGTGTCCAGTGCCTTAGCCACCTCACATAAGCAGTCCCGGCGAGGAGCTTATCTCTGCCTGCTGGAGCAGAGGGTCACACTTCCAGAGCAACTCTTTGTGCTACACGCTGCCCCCTCCCCCCTGCCTTGTTCTCCTTTCACAGCCATGCCCCTGGCACTCTCAGGGCTAAATCCATGCAGTGTTCACTGAGTTTTATTAAACTCCCTAGACTGGAGAGAATGGAACTGCAGGAATTTCTTCTCTTATTCTTTGGTGCAAAAAATGAGCACTCACAGGCGTTTTAACTCCTTAAGCCAAGCAGTTTGTTTAAACCAAAGGTAGCAAACTCAGCTGCAAATATTACCTGAGCAAACTCAGGTAGCAAATATTCTGGGAGAGGTGGGCTGTGGGAAGCAACAGGGACAGATGGGGACTGTGGCAGACTGTAGAGGACAAACGCTTCCTCAGAATGGGACAGTAGTTCCCCACCTGCTGTTGCAGCCCGCTGGAAGCCAAGTTGAGAGTTGTCTGATCCTCTGAGATTTCAGGAGGAAATGTAGGGTTGGATTTTGTGTGAAAATTCCCAATTTTTAAAACAACTTTGGGGCAAAATGCAAACAGTTCTGTGTGCTTAAGGCTGCCAGTTTGAGAATCCTGATTTAAACAGTGAGAAGTCCTACTTTTGGCTACATTTTTTCCTTCCTGCTACTCTGCCCCAATTGATTTCAATGGTGGCTGCTGGTCAGGAGGCCTTTTTGCTCTTCTGAGGCAGAAGCTGGTTGGATCTTTCTTGTGATGTATTATGCTGCCATAGATCAACAGTCCATTTCCAACCACCTTCAATGTACCACATTCATCTCCTAGCCAACCACACCTGTCACCTGTCCCTTCTCTTGTGTGAACATAGTATATGCTTGTTTTTCACTCTGTTCATTCATTTATTCAACATATATTGAGAAGATATTATATCTATATATAAACAAATTTTTAATTTTCTGAAAAGATTTATTTTTATCTATTTATTTGAAAGGCAGAGTCATAGAGAGAGGAGACACACATACACACACAAATAGACACATAGAGGTCTTCCATCAGCTGGTTCACTCCCCAAATTGCCACAATAGCTGGGGTTGGACCAGGCCGAGCCAGGAGCCTAGAACTCCATTTGGGTCTCCCACATAGGTGGAGGGGCCCAAACATTCTGACCATATTCCACTGCTTTGACAAGGGCACTAGCAGTGAGCTGGATTGGAAGTGGAGCAGCTAGGACTTGAACCAGTGCTCATGAGGAATGATGCCATCACAGGTGGTGGTTTAACCCACTGCACCACAACCCTGGATCCAGATACATTAAATTTATTTTTTTAATCTTTGAACTCTACTTTGACAATCATCCCATCTCCTACTCCCTCTCCCATCCCATTCTTCATCAAGATTCATTTTCAATTATCTTTATATACAGAAGATCAACTTGGTATATACTAAGTAAAGATTTCAACAGTTTGCACCCACACAGATACACAAAGTATAAAGTACTGTTTGAGTAGTGGTTTTACTGTTAATTCACATAGTACAACACATTAAGGACGGAGATCCTACATGGGGAGCAAGTGTACAGTGACCTCGTTGTTGATTTAACAATTGACACTCTTATTTATGATGTCAGTAATCACCCAAGGCTCTTGTCATGAGCTGACAAGTCTATGGAAGCCTCTTGAGTTCACAAACTCCAACCTTATTTAGACAAGGCCATAATTGAAGTGGAAGTTCTCTCCTCCCTTCAGAGAAAGTTACTTCCTTTTTTGATGGCCCGTTCTTTCTGCTGGGATCTCACTCACAGAGATCTTTCATTTAGGTCTTTTTTATTGCCACATGCCTGAGAAACTCTTATGGGCTTCTTAGCCAGATCTGAATGACATAAGGGCTGATTCTGAGGCCAGAGTAGCATCAATAATCTAGTAAATATCATTTAATTGAATGTTTCTTTATGGCATAAAATTATAGAGACATCATGTTATGCTTATTTCATTTTATCAAGTGCTGCCTAATGGCTCTGCAATATGGCTACCTAGATTTATACATAATTTCAGTACATGAATATTTCTCCTTTCATCAATTGTTTGATAGAGTTTGGCCTTCTAATTTTACCAGTTTGATATTTGCAAGATAGTATTTATGTCCTATTTTAGTTTTATTTTTTTGATAGATAACAAGGGTAAGAATTCCTTTACACATGTGCTTATCATTCAGTGGTCATGGTGAGTAAGGGGGTATCCAGAGGCAAGGCCTATTTGAGGTAAAAAAATGTAAGCAAGGTCATGGTAATTATTGACGCTGAGAGTACGCACATACTGACCCTAAGAGATGAGGTGTATTCTATACTGGGTAGGAGGTAGAAGGCAGTAGTCCTAGAGTTCAAATCTTACACAGGACCCAGATGTTTTACAAGGACATAGACTAGGGCCTGGAATAGAAATCTACGGGGTGAATATGTTGGTTTAACATTAATAGAATTCCTGCTAATTCAGTAAAGCCAAAGGTTATGTCTTTTCCCAAACTAATGGAAAAATGATGATCAGTGGCAAAAAAGAGGTTAAATCCAGATCTCATTGTGAGGATATATGAGACTATATTCAGTGGCAAAGGCAATTAAATAAATGTGAGTGCATGGATATGAGATACTCTCAAATCCACACCTACATGCCAATATACATCTCTCCTTTAAAAACTTAACAGACAAAATTATACATATTTATAGGACACTATGTAATATTTTGGTACATGTATACTTAATATTATGTCCTATCAGGGTAAATATATTTATCTCTTAAAACATTTTACTTGTGTTTGCATCTAAGTTAAATAGTACTATTAATAAAATCAAGCATTTACTGTTTTTGGTGAGACAAGAATGACTGTAAGCCTAAACCTAGTTTGCACGTATGCGCACCCTCAAGGAGATTTAGTAATACCGTAGTCCTAAGTGCATAAGATAATTTCCTGTGCTTAAGTCATATATTTCCTAGTTTTGGTATCAGGGACAAAATCTGAAAATTCAAGTTAGTGATAGAGTTACCATTGGCCAAAAGGAATCACCCTAGGCAACAGTCTGCAAGAATCCTGTAGTCCTTTCACTATTGGCTAAGGCCGGGATGGAGTGCTGTCGTCAGTACATCATAAAATGCTGAGGTCTTCGTGGTGACTGGAAATATAAGTCCTGATGCTATACTGAGCACTAGACAGGTTAGAGACTTGGTGAAGAGAGAACCTCTTTTTTGATTCGTTCTTGAGTGTTCAAGTTACCTTCTTGATTACCATCAACTGCTTTCTGAGAGAGCATTGCAAGAAGAAAGGTTACCTGATTTGAGCAACTCTACAAAGAACTGAATCATGAAGCGGACTGAGAAAAGAAAACATCTGGAAAGCATAGACTCCCCACAAGCTGCAAAGAAACCAACAAGTATGTTGTAGGATG